AATTTTCCATAAGGAATATTATAATAAATAAATTTGTTGCTTAATAGAAATCCTTTGGAAATAAAATTTTCGTGACTTGAGATAAAAAAAAAATGCCAACAAGAATAAATATTGGCATAAACAAGTACAGGATATCTTAAGAATAATATGATGTGTTCATTATTAAAATTAAAATTATGATGTACACCATAATAAAAATGCACAGAAATGCTCTATAAAGTAGAGTTTACTAAACATTGAACTTGTAATTAATTGAAAAGTTGTTAATTAAGTAAGATTCTCAGTTCGAGTCGTTTAAGTAAAAGTGAATGTGAAATGTCCTACATATAAATGAATTGATAGTTTCAATAATTATTTGTCGTTTATTCAAAAAGAGTTGATAACAAAATCAATTGTCGAATATCGTAAAAAATTCGCAATAATTGATGTAGCGAGTTTAAAACTTCAATGGGAAACTACTATGGTATATGTTCACTGTTAGGAACTTAATTGTTAAGCACGACAATTATCTATTTAATGTATCTGTATGTGTGAATGTTGTTTATAATTAATTAATAACATTCTCCATTTCATTTGTAAAACTTTCATAATCGGGGTATTTTTTTATTGTCGAAGTATAATACGAATAGCATGCAGAGAAAAACAAGTTTCAATGTTCGGAAGAACAATTAATTGTGTTTATGTTATACAACATTGTAAAAGGAAATTTCTCATTATTAATATACACATATTCTTTTGTACGAAATTTCATGACAAAGCGTATTAAACTAAATAAATACCGTTTTGTCTTATGTCTCGTCAAATGTTGCGACGACAACAAAAGATCACCTTTAATTATTGTAATATTTCAAGCAAGATGGCAGTTATAACTTTTTCCTTTTTTTGTAATAAGTAGTAACCGATCATTTCGATGAATAGTTATTTCGACATATTTCGAACTTAGCCTCTATATTTTTTCGATAATCGTTACTACTATTATTATCACTACTGCTACCAATAATAATACTAATAATAATATCAACTAGAAAAGAATCTTAATAATTTATATAGAAAATGTACAAGAAAATCTACATTCAACGTACGCTTATATTTTCGTAAATGTGATCGATTTATGATAACCGAATGATAGGAGAATAAATAAATTAAAAAAAAAAAAAAAGATTACATGAGAAAAATGGGAAGTCTGAGAGCGGGGAAAAGATTCATTTATAAACTTATTCTGACTGATAATGTAATTGCAATGAGAGAGATAAAGCATCGCCATTTGCGATAAGAACGATTTGTAAATTCAAAGACTTTGATATGCATAACATAAAGATCCTTTTTACCAAAAAAAGTCTGTGTCTATAATTTTTTTAATAGTAAAACTTAATTGAATTTATAGCATGTGTAAAATAAAAAAAAAAAATTGATGTAACAAAA